GGGTCACATCACAATCCAAACCTGCTTATTTTCTTCTTCTTCGTTACGAGTCTATGGGGTGAAGCGAAGACTGATGATAGGTACACACCCTCGTCTGGTCACTCTGGGGCATTTCACGTCGCAGTAGTTGCCTTGTTTCCCTTTTTTTCATTTATCAAAAGTCCATTCCTTCAACTTGCTTCCTTCATTTTTCTTGTTCTACGGGCAAAAAAAATCCTCGCTAACTCTAACTTCCCATGCTCCCGTTTCCCTTCCCACTGCCTCACCCTCTTCTCCTGGCCGTCAGTACCTCGTGTGTCTCTTCTGCTACGAGCGTATCAAGCTCGAACTCAACAGCCTCTGCCCCAGCTGCCGAACCCCCTACGGCGTCCCCCACCTCCTCCCCGTCCGCTGCTGATAAGCCAGCCGCAACAGCCAGAGCGGCAACTGGAAAGAAAGTGAAGGGTGCAGCAATGGGCGAGTGACAGGTGGCAGCGGCGGGCTGGAGAGCAGCGGGAAAGCGGGAGAGAGGGGTCGAGGAGGAGGAGGGGGGAGTGTTTGTGGGTATGGGGGCGGAGGCAGCTGGGGAGAGGAGAGGGTGGTGGTAGTGCGAACGTCCCGTTGGTCCCGGCAAGCTTACCGGAAGTGGTGGGACTGGCCGGGCTGATATCCTCGCTGGCTCTACTAACGGCATTGCTGCTGCTAGCTGCTGCTGCTGTTGGTGGTGCTGGGGGTGGGGACTTGGGGGAGGGGTTGCTGTTGGGGCTGCTGGTGCTGGTTTCGCTGGTATTGGCAGTGGTTTTGGTGGGATGATGGGAGGAATGAGGGGGTTCAAACCCACCGATTTCAGCCATGGCGTCTTCGCCTCTCATGCCGCTCTCCTCCTCCTCTCCACTCACTGGTATGTATGCATCCCACTCTCGTTGACTTTTGAGTCGACTCCAAAGTTAACTCCTGTTCACCCTCTCCATGCAGCTCTCGCCCTCCTCTCCACTCACCCGTATGCATCTCAACCGCTCTGCATCCCACCCGCTCTCTCTCTTTCCGCGCAACCCTCCTCTGCGCCCCCTCCACCACAGTTTCCCCTCCCCCCTTCTTCTGCACATCCTTCTCAAAGTTCGTTTCTGATGTTCATATCCTGGCATCCTGAAGTCGCTTCAGCTGCTTTTCCACGCGTCTCAAACACCTACAGTCTTTACGGTGGCTGTTTTCTCTGAGCTTGCAGTTTAACTCGAGTCAAGTTTCACATCACATCATACAGCTTGCTGTTGTGCAAATACCGTCCAACCCACCCTTCCTCTCCTCCTTCCCCCTTCCCTCCCCCCTCTCTCGCTCTCTCCATGTATTCCCCCCCGCCCATCCCTTCTCTCTGTGTGCATGTGCACTGCAGCATCGCATAAGACCGTGTGGGAAAGACCATCGTATCTCAACCACTCACCCCTCTCCTGGGTGTCCACGTCATCCTTATTAGGATCCACATCATCCCTGCTGGGATCCACGTCATCCCTGTTGGGCCCTCACGCACCTCTCAACTCCCCACTGCACCATCCGCTCCCTTCTTCTTCTTCTTCTTCCTCCTCCTCCTCCTCCTCCTCCTCCTCCTCCTCCTCCTCCTCCTCCTCCTCCTCCTCCTCATCCTCCTCCTCCTCCTCCTCCTCCTCCTCCTCCTCCTCCTCCTCCTCCTCCTCCTCCTCCTCCTCCTCCTCCTCCTCCTCCTCCTATTCCTCCTCCTCCTCTTCCTCTATTTCCTCCCTAACACCTTCAACTGCATCAGCCTCTTCTATTCCAATCAATCCTGGAACCTCAATGAGTACGGCTACAGCCCATTCAGCTGCCTCTTCTCCTGCTACAGCCTCTTCTATCTCTTCCTCTTCTCCTTCCTCCTCCTCTACTACCTCCTCGACCTATTCCCTCACACCCTCAGCCAGTAACCACGTTCACCCACCACCAGCCGGAGTGCTTACTGCTACAGTCCCCGCCGCTACAACCGCTGCTGTGGAGCGGGCTCTAGCATCTGTAGCCGCGGGGCAAACCAGGCGCCCAGGTCAGGTGAACGGTCAGGTGCATGGTCAGGTGCTGGCGCAGGGGCAGGGACAAACGCAGGAGCAGGGGCAGGGAGGGCACGGGCAGGGACAGGGAGCACAGGGGCAGGCGCAAGGGCAGGGAGGGGTGAATTTCGCGCAGGGAGGGGCGAATTTCGCACAGGGAGGGGCGAATTTCGCACAGGGAGGGGCGAGTTTCGCACAGGTGGGCCCTGTGATGCTGCAGCCAGGGCTGCGAGGGGCGATTCTGGTGGCCTCCCTGCCCGCCCGCATCAGAGTGACAGGAGATGGCGTGCTGGCCGCTCCTTGGCCGCTGCTGGGAGGTGGAGTGGGGTTGGGAGGAGTGGGACTGGGAAGCGGAGTGGTACTGGGAGGTGGAGTGGGGCTGGGAGGAGTGGGACTGGTAGGGGCGCGGAGGGGTTGTGAGTGGGGCTGGCGGTGGTAGTGGTGTTAGTGGTGGGAGTATCAACGGTGGGATACTGGCAGGGTCTGTTGGTGCGTTAGGGCCAGGGGCGATGCCTCTTATGGGGTCTGCTGCAAGGAGGGGAGCTGCTGGGCTGATGAGCTCTGCTGCTGGTATGGCCGGTGGTGGTTTGGTGGGTTCTGCTGCTGCTGCTGGTGTGGTTGGTGGTGGTTTGGTGCGTTCTGCTGCTGGTGTTAGCGTGGCAGGTAGCAGTAATGCCCTGGTTGCCGGTGCAGAGATAGTTGGGGTAGGCCTGGGAGCTATTGTGGCTGCTGCTGGGACTGCTGGGACTGCTGGGACGGTTGGGGCTGCCACGGCAAGCTTGTCGGGTTCAGACACTGCTGCAGCTGCTTCTGGAGCTGTTGTGGCTGCTGCTGGGACTGCTGCAAGTGCTGCCAGTGCTGCAGCTGCTGCTGGGACTGCTGGGACGGTTGGGGCTGCTGCAATGCGTGTGCCTGGTTCAGGCTCTCCTGCAGCAGCTACTGGTGCTGTTGTGCCTGCTGCTGGGGCTTCTGAGACAGCTGGAACTGCTGCAAATGCTGCGGCTGCTGATGACACTGCTTCTTCCTCCTCTTCCTCCTCCTCCTCCTCCTCCTCCTCCTCCTCCTCCTCCTCCTCCTCCTCCTCCTCCTCCTCCTCCTCCTCCTCCTCCTCCTCCTCCTCCTCCTCCTCCTCCTCATCCTCCTCCTCCTCCTCCTCCTCCTCCTCCTCCTCCTCCTCCTCCTCCTCCTCCTCCTCCTCCTCCACCTCCACCTCTCCCCCAGCTTTCAATTTTGAGGCGCCTCAAAACTCCTCCTCCTCCACCTCCACCGCTCCCCCAGCTTTCATCCCACTTTCATCTATGTGTGTTATGAACCATTCAGACGCTACTAGTACTGCGAACATCACCACCACAGCTTCAAGCAGCAGCAGCAGCAGCAGCAGCAGCAGCAGCACCAGCACCAGCAGCAGCAGCAGCAGCAGCAGCAGCAGCAGCACCAGCAGCAGCAGCAGCAGGACCAAAGGCTGCAGTGAAGAGAGTGCCACGCTTCAAAGGGCGGGCAGCACACGTGCACAGTCAGAGACACACACAGGTGCAGGGTCGGAATTGCAGACCGGCCCACAGCAGCAGACAGGCACATTAGATCAGCCACAGGAAAACGCAGGGGCTTCACTGCATCTGCTGCAGCAGCAGCAAGCAGCGGCAGCAGCAGCGGCAGCGGCGGTGGCAGCGGCGGGGGTGGTGGCAGGGGTGGGAGTGGGGTGGACAGAAGATGAGATGAAGCGAGCGGGGGAGATTGTGGCTGCTGCCAGGCGCACTCAGAGTAGATTCTCCTCCCTCTTTGCTGCCTCGGGCTGTGCTGCTGCTGGAAATACAGGGGCGTGTGGAAATGCTGGGTTTGCAGGGATTCTGAGGTCTGTAGGAATGCTGGTGCTGGTGCTGGTGCTGGTGCTGGTGCTGGTGCTAATTGTGGTGGTGCTAGTGCTGCTGCTGGTGAGGGGTGCAGCAGTACCAGCAAAGGCGGTGCTGGTAGTGGTGGTGATTGTGGTGGTGCTAGTGCTGCTGCTGATGAGGGGAGTAGCAATACCAGCAAAGGCGGTGGTGGTGGTAGCTCGGGTGACCCTACTGCTGCGGCTGCTGTTGCTGCTTCTGTACCTTCTGGGGCTAGTGGTGGTGATACTGGTGGTGCTAGTGGTGGTGGTGGTGATACTGGTGGTGCTAGTGGTGGTGGTTCTAGTGGCGGTGATGGTGCTGGCGCTGGTGCTGGCCCTGGTGGTGGCGATGGTGGTGCTGCTAGTGCTGGAAATAAGGGTGGTATATATGAGCTGCATGAGAATGACCACGAGGCAGTGTGGGCGTGGATAGCCGGAGATGCCCCAGTGCCCCATGCTGCCTCCTTCTCCTCTCTGCTTTCCACCCAACCTCCCTCCTTTGCCCCCGCTTCTGCCACTGCTGCTGCCACTGCTGCTGCCACTGCTGCAACCACTGGTGCAGCCCCTGCTGCTGTCGCTGCTTCTGCTTCTGCCCCTCCTTCTGGACTGAGCAGCCACCTTACGAAGTGGCACCACCAGCACCAGCACACACATGTTGCCCGTGCTTTCTCTGCCTCTGCTCTTCCGCTCCTCCCCTCCTCTCCTTCCATCTGGAGCCCTCTTACCTCCCCTCCTCAATTTGCTGCAGCAAGTATCGAGCCCGCATCTCAGAAGCTGTGGCTGGGTCCAGTGGGACGTGGAGGGGAGGTATTATCTAAGGAAGGTGGAGGGGAGGTGTTGTTTGGGAGAGGTGGAAAGAAGCTGCTATCTCAGAAAGGTGGAGGGGAGGAGCTCTCTGAGGAAGGTGGAGGGGAGGTGTTATTTAGAGAAGGCAGTGCAGAGGAGCAACCAGCAGCAAGTGCTAGCTCTGCTGGTAACACTGAAGCACCTGTGGCGGCGGCACTAGACGGTGAGTCCCATCCCATGGTTGCTGCTTCGTGTAGCCCCTCCTTCCCAGTCTCTCTAAGGCGTCTCAGAGGAGAAACCACCAGCAGCAAGTGCTAGCTCTGCTGGTAACACTGAAGCACCTGTGGCGGCGGCACTAGCAGGTGAGTCTATGTCATGGTTGCTTGCTGCCAATGCAGTTTCCCCCAGTATGTCCCCTCCTCCCATCATCTCCCTCTCCTTCTCTCCTTCCCCCTCTCTCCATCTCCCTCCTACCACTCCCTGAGACGCACTCACAAGGAGAGTGCACTTTCATCCTCATTATAATGCTCCACATAGTCTGCTGCACCGAGTGTGCTCTCTTTTCTGTCTGTCTCTCTCCCCGCATCCTCCCCACCCTGTCCCCCCCACTCTCTCTCTCTCTCCATCTCCCCCCTTTTCGAGTCGACTCAAAAGTCTCTCCATCTCCCCCCTTTTCGAGTCGACTCAAAAGTCTCTCCATCTCCCCCCCTTTTTTTGTAACCTTGATTGACATGATGATGACCAGCAGCAGTGACAGAGCCCGGTGCTCCTGACGGGCCAGAGAATAAGCTGACTAATGCTGCCTTGAATAACGCTGATAGCAAACCCAGCACGATCAGCAGCACTGCCAACAACAGCAACAGCAACAGCAACAGCAGCAGCAGCAGCAGCAGTGACACCAGGAGTGGCATTAAGAGCAACAGTTTCAACAGCAGTGCGAGCGGCAGCAGTCTAGGCAGCGGCAGGGAGAGTCATGTTTCTAAGGTGACACATAGCCTTCCCAACTCCCCTCCTCCACGATCGTCTCAGTCCCCCTCCTTTCTCCCTTCCTTCCATTCCCTTCGCCCTTCTCTTCCCACTTCCATCTCGCTCCCTGGCCGTCCCTCCTCCCACTCCTCCTCCTCCTCCTCCTCCTCCTCCTCCTCCTCCTCCTCCTCCTCCTCCTCCTCCTCCTCCTCCTCCTCCTCCTCCTCCTCCTCCTCCTTCTCCTCCTCCTCCTCCTCCTCCCTCTCCATTGCCACACTCCCCTCCTCCAAATCCCACCATATCACCTCCTCCCTCTCATCCTCCTCACTCCCTCCCGGAGGCCCGTCTGCCACGTCAGCAAGCTCCACATCTGCAGCGATTCGTGCCACCACTCTCTCGGCGACAGCTGGCGAGTTCATCCCGTCACTGCCCGCCACGCCAGCATCAGCATCCCTCTCTACAGTCACTCCCGCTATAGCTTCTTATGCTACCCCGGGCGCTATTGGTCGATCGCTGTCCCCTTCTCCCCACATTCCAATCCGCTCCTCCTCCCCTTCTCCTGCTCGCTCTTCCTCTCCCCTTCCCCCCTCCTCTCTCTTCAAATCCCCCTCCACCTCTGCTTCTTCCTTCACCTCACCTCCCCCCTCTGCTCCTCCTGCTGATGCTGCTTCTTTCACTGCTGCAGCCTCCTGGAAGCTTCCTCAACGTGCCACATCCCCATCTCGAACCTCTCCATCTCCAACCTACTCTCTCCGAACCTCCCTCGCTGCTTCGGCGTCCCTAGCCAGTGCAATATCAGCCCCGGAATTCAAACCCAAGCTCAATGCTCCTGACTTTAAGCCTGCTGGTGCTGCTGTAGCGGCTACAGCTGCTACTGCTGCTACAGCTGCTACTGCTGCTACAGCTGCTATATTTACCAATTCCCGCGCGACAGCAAGAATGGTTTCTGCTTCCCGTGCTACAGCCTCTAGGGTTTCCTCTTTCCTTTCTACAGCTGCTAAGAATTCCGATTCCCTTGTTACACCTCCTACAATCTCCGATTCACCTGCCACATCTGCTGGAGTTTCTGCTTCCCCTGCTGCTGCCCCTGCCGCCTCCCTCTCCACCTCTGCTGCCACTGCCGCTGCCTTCGTCCCCTCCTCATTGCCTGTGGTTGCCACAGCTGCCAGGGTTGCTGATTCCCATGCTACAGCTGCTATGTGTTCTGGCTCCCTTGCTACAGCTTTCAAGGCCCCTCCCACCGCTTCTCCTGCTGCTGCACCTGCCTCCTCCCTCTCCTCCTCTGCTGCCACTGCCTCTGCCTTCGTCCCCTCCTCATTGCCTGTGGTTGCCACAGCTGCCAGAGTTGCTGATTCCCATGCTACAGATGCTATGTGTTCTGGCTCCCTTGCTACAGCTTTCAAGGCCCCTCCCACCGCTTCTCCTGCTGCTGCACCTGCCTCCTCCCTCTCCTCCTCTGCTGCCACTGCCTCTGCCTTCGTCCCCTCCTCTATCTCTGTTGTTTCTACCAGTTCGTCTGCCTTTGCTCCCTTATCTGTCTCTGGGCAAGGTCTAGCCTCGGGGCATGACGTGGGGCATGACGTAGGGCATGACGTAGGGCATGACGTAGGGCATGACGTAGGGCATGACGTAGGGCCTGACGTGGGGCATGACGTAGGGCATGACGTGGGGCATGAGTTGGGGCATGAGTTGGGGGATGATTTGGGGGATGATTTGGGGGGAGGTGTGTTTCTCCCATCAACCCTCGACTCCCCACCACCGATTGCCATCCGCCAGGGGCCTGTAAGGCGGCTGTTTGGGGGTGGTGAGAGCACGGCAGGGGATGCAGGGGGCGTGGGAGGTATAGGAGGAATGGGAGCAGGAGGAGTGGGAGGTATAGAAGGAATGGGAGCAGGAGGAGTGGGAGCAGGAGGAGTGGGAGCAGGAGGAATGGGAGCAGGAGGATTGGGAGCAGAAGGAGTGGGAGCAGGGGGCATGGTTGGGCTGTTTGGGGATGGAGGGGGCATGGCAGGGGATGCAGGGGGTGCGGGTGACTCAAGAATGGTAAACGGCCTGGAGATTGGTTCTAACGAGTTGACTTTTGAGTCGACTCAAAAGATTGGTTCTAACGATGGTATGGTGTACTATAGGAGCCAGTGGGGAGGGGAGGAGGGAGGAGAGGAGGAAGGGGGGGAGGAGCAAACGGAGCAAACGCAACCAGCCATGTATTACGAGGGGTTGACGTCTCACGTGGTCTATGGTGCTGCAGCAGCAGCTAATGCTGAGGCATTTCAAAAGCCAACTGGTGGGATGGTGCGAGCAGGTGAAAATTCTGATCTTAGCAGCACACACAGCAGCACAGCCTTTTCAAGAAACGGCCCACGGGGAAGCACAGGCAGCTATAGCTACAGCAGCGGCAGGGATATCACCAACCGTAGCATCAACATCAGCAGCAACAGCAGCAGCAACAGCAACAACAGCAGCAGCAGCAGTGCCAGAGTGAGCATTGCAAGGCATAACCGTAGCCATCATGATAACATCACTGGCAGCAGCAGGAGCATCAGCAGCAGAAGCATTAGCAACAGCAGCAGCAGCAGTAGCGGCAGCAACCCAGCCTCGTTTATCCTCTCTAAGAGCTCACTCGCCAAAGCAGCTGGAGCAGTCCCGTTTCGCCCCAAGGCTGTCATACCCCCTCGCTTCATCTCCCCTACTGCTCCCACCTTTGTTCCTTCCTCCTCTGCCTCCTCTCTGCCCTTCAACCATCCCTCACTTCCCTCGTCCCATTCCTCACACTACTCTCTCTCCTCCTCTCACTCCACACTCTCCTCCTCACACACCACTGTGCCATCTGCCCCTCTCCGTTCCGCCTCCCCTGCATTTACACCCTCCAAGCTCTCTCTCCATTCCGCTCCTTTCACTCCTTCCTCTGCCTTCATCTCTCCACCGCCTCCCCACACACGCTCATTTGCTCCCTTCCCCGCTGCTCCTTCTGCTACTGCTGTCACTTTTGCCAGTGCTGCTGCTGCTGCTGCTGCTGCTGCCAATGCTTCTCCCGCAGCAAACCGTGCAGTGATTGCTTCAAGCAGTGCTCCCAACACACCTGCTGAAAAGGCAGGAGCACCGGCAGCACCAGCACCAGCAGCAACAGCAACAGCAACAGCAGCAGCGGCAACAGCAGCAGTCGCACCAGCACCGGCAGCACCAGCAGCAGCCACAGCAATGGTTCCCTCAATCTCCAAGCAGGACGGGACGAGTCCAGCTGGCACATCTTTGAGAGCAGGGGCAGAGGAATGGCAGGGACCACAGAGTGCAGCAGGAGAGGTTTCTGGTGGGATGGAGGAGTGGGAGCGGCAGCAGAGTGCAGGGCTGAGAGTATCAGGTGTGCCAGCAGGAGCAGGAATGAGCAGCAGCAGTGGGTACGGACGTGGGGGGTATGAAAGCGGAACGGACATTATGCCAGCTGGCATGGCAGCAGGTACGGCGGCAGGCATGGCAGCAGGCATGGCAGCAGGTATGGTGGCTGGCATGGCAGCATACGAGTCTAACAGGACAACAGGCTCGGAAGTAGCCATGGCAGGTGGCAGCAGGATGCAAGGCATGGGTGGTCATGCAGGTGGCATGGCTTGGTCTCATGCCGCATGGCATGGCATGGTGACCTCTCCTCCTCCTGCTGTATGGCATGGCATGGTTGGGTCCCCTCCTGCCCCACACTCAGCACACTCAGTGCAGTCAGGGCTGCCAGTTGCTCTTCCACCTTGGCAGATGGGAGTAACACCTGTCACTGCTACAGCTGCCGCTGCTGTTCCTTCTGTTGCCGCTGCTGCTGCGCCTGCCCCCTCTGCTGCTGCAGCTGCTTCTGTCCATTACACCGGGGCTACTTTTGGAGCCCATTGCCGTGCCTGAGATGTGGTCCAGTGTTCCTTCCCATCCTGGAGGTTCGGCTGGTCCGGAAGCCTGGCCCGGGGCTGTCGTGCTTGGTCCGGAAGCTGCCGCTTCAGCTGGCTGGAGTTCCCCGGAGGGGTATGCAGGTTCGGCAGCCCCTTGGGCAGGTATGGGAGGGCATGCTGGTTCAGGTATGTGGTCCTGTGTGAGTGATGGTATGGTAGGTGGTACTGCAGTTGTAGCGGGGGTAGCGGGAGGGGTGTGGGCAGGTATGGGGGAAACGGGTGTACATGGTGTGACTGTTGGGATGGCGCCAGGTGGGATGATGATGGGTGGATATGGTATGCATGTGCATGGTGTTGGGGAGGAGGATGGAGGTTTTGATGGGAGTGGTGGTGGGGGGGTTGGAGTTGCTCCTTTGCATTGTCCTGTATGTCATGGTTATCTTGCCACGTCTGCTGCTGACTTGACTGCTCACTTGGATCACTGTGCTCGTTACAATCATTAGTTCCGTCACTTTGTGGTGCTTGACGGGAGGCACTTACGGTACCTGTGCAATATACTTTCTTTTGTCTTTATTTTTTCAAGTCTCCCTGAAATTGATGCTGTTTTACAACCACCATATGATTTTGTATATTGTTACGGGTGCAATGGATCGAAATAGCGAGGATTGCACTGAGGTGTCAAATGAGTACAAAATGTGAGCGAAGGCATGAGCGAACATTTATACGCGAAACATGCAAACAATAGCGCGGTGCGTGCGAGCTACTGTCATCGCCCGGATATAAGACAGTGTTGAATAGTAGACAGGGGTTGTCTACTATACGGGTGTCTCTTATAAACAGGCTAGCCTTTTTATACGACACCTATTCGTGTGTACGAGATAAGACATATATGTCTTATAATCAGAACCGGGGTTTAGGGGTTTTCTTATAAACAGGGGGTGTCTTCTAAACGAGCCTACACTACTTTAGGGGGGTACATCCATACATTCATGAATCACTACTTCTACCTAACCCCCCTCAGTAACCGCCTCCTCTGCAGCACTAGCAACAGGCTCTACGCTCAGATCTGGCACTCGCCAGGCATGCCTAGCCGTCTCAATTGGCTCGATCATGCGGTCAGCCTCGGCTGCCGCTCTGCGGTAGTTGGGGGTCTCTTGGTACAGCACCTCCAGGCCAGTTGCCACGGCCACCTCCCGCACGCCCTCCGCCTGCATCGCCTCCTCCTCCTCCTCCTCCTCCTCCTCCTCCTCCTCCTCCTCCTCCTCCTCCTCCTCCTCCTCCTCCTCCTCCTCCTCCTCCTCCTCCTCCTCCTCCTCCTCCTCCTCCTCCTCCTTGGAGCCTTCCGAAGCAGGCGCGCGTTGTCGCCTGTGGTCCCCCCGAGGGACATGTCCTCGGAGACATCGGTGGTGCTCCTGGCGCGCAGCTGAGACATCACCAGTTGGTTCTCCGTTCCGTCCAGCTTGCTGGAGATCCCACAGTGGCGGAACGCGTCGATGATGATCTGCCTGGGGACTTGATCCCAAGCCTCCGCGATCCACTGCAGCACCACGGGGTGCGGAGGCCTCCGCAGGTTCCCTGCTGGTGGGACAGAGGACACATCAGCGAGATGTTAACGATAAGGACACGAAACAGAGCAGGAATTTAAAATGAACAGCCAGCTCACCCTTCTTCGTCTTCAGGTGAATCCCTTCACGCATGAACCACCTGGCGTAGCGCGCTCGCACGGCAGCCTTGAAGCACCGGTTGATGGAGACGTCCAGGGGTTGAATCTGGCTCGTACAACCCGCTGGAATGACTGCAGGGGTGATGCTGTGCGTGCGGTACGACTGAAGCATGGTCTGGGTGATGTGGCCGCGGTAGGAGTTTAACACCAGCATCGCACGCCTCGCGCTCTTGCCGCGCTGGGGGTACAGATGGGGAAGCACCTCCTTGGACAGCCAGGTCTGCACAGCGCTCTCGTCCATCCACTCGTTGTCCTGTGCTTGGACCACGATTCCTGCCAGGCACACAAGGGACAGACGAACATCAGCACAGTAGCGGAACGTCGTCGTCTGTCCCAAGGCTCCGCGGGTCGTCGTCGTCGCCCTCACCCTCAAATAAGACGGCATCCGCAGCCACCTTGTTCGCCTCCGCCACCGCGTCCGCATCCGCAGGCGCCTCTGTCTCGAGTTCCGCCGCCGCCTCGTCGGCAGCCTCATTCGCATCCACCGCCGCTTCCTGTGCCTCCGCGTTGTCACCGCCAGCATCTTCACCTCCGCCGTTGTCGGAATCACCAGCCCGCCACTCTTCCACCTCGTCGCCGCTCCCGACCGGCTGATTCCACCATTCGTCCTCCTCGATGTCGGCAGTACCAAATTCGTCGCCCGAAGCGCTGTCATCGTGGCCGTTCTCCGGCCAATCCTCCTCGGCGTCGTCGCCGTGTGCTTCGTCTCCGTCTTCCCCGTCACAGCTCGCACCGGAGGCGGCGGTAGGACTTCCCGCCTTGCTCGCGTTCTTCGCCATGGCTATGCGGATGTCATCGGCGGGCGAGTTAATTCGCCCGTAGTTATTCACCTGCACGTGAGGACGAGGTGAGGACTTGCCTAGGGGTACCTTGCTGCGCATGGTTAGAGAGCCTGCTGAGAGCAAGGTTGAGGTGAGAATTCAATCTCCATGAGCACCAAATGAAGTGAAAGCCCGACTACCCCCCCCAGCCAGAGTGCCCCATCCACAGGTGCCGAGCCGCTCCTCTACGAGGCATCTCCTCGTAGAGGACAGCCTGACGCTGCCAACGTGCTGCCAGCAGCATTCTGGAAGCTGCCATGCGCTGCTGGCAGCAAAACGACGCTGGCAGCATCATTAGATGCTGCCAGCACAGAGGAATCTTGCCAGCGGTGGCAGCTTTGCTGCATCACCACCGAGGTTGGCCTGTTTCAATGAATCTGGTCCCTGGGTGTTTTCTACACACTTTGCAAGTGTTACACAGTCAACTTATTTTTTTTTCCATTTATAAGAATTATAAGACACCCTAAACCATCCCGTTTACAAGATAACTCAAGCATTTTTGCCCGTGTACGAGATAAGACATATATGTCTTATATCCGAGCGATGACGGTAGCTAGTGCTATGCTGGCAGCGAGGCTTGGGCTAGTCCCGAAGCTTGGGCCGACGCGGCCGCCAGCAGTGCGAGATTTGGTGAAAACAGTGCGCGTGAAGTTGGCGAAGCCCCGTTAGCAGTAACGAGCGAACAACAGCTGCTGCTGTACGCGATGTTGCAGGGCGCGCTAAGGAATATCGAGAAAATTCCTTGCACTACCCCCCCCCCCTCCAGAAGCCCCCTCCGCTACGCGAGTGCGTGTATATCGTGGCAACCCCGGCTCCTCAGGTACACTTGCAAGGCAGGGTGTGTCGAAAGACTAGGCAAAAGTTAGAAACAGGAAAGATGTTTTTCACTAACACGCAGTTGAGTACATATAGCAAACCCTAATTCGGGCTATACTCGCTATAGAGTATCCCACTGCAGGCTAGACAAACATCACATTCTGACACACCCCCATAGTCAAAGTGGAGTAGAATCAGCACAGCAAGCAGGCAGAGCAGTAGATTCACAAATACAAGGAAAGCTAGAGGCAGTCACAGAGGGCAAGAGAGGAGGAGGAGGAACAATGAGAGGAGTGGAGATAGGAGGCGTCGGGTGAAGCCGCAGATACACGGGCTATAGGAACGGCACGCACGGTGGCTACCGGAGCACTCAACCTCCGGACTACAGGAGTAACTGGCTCCGCGCTAAACAGCACCAGGAGCAACAGACCCACGGGCGACTGGCAGCAACAGGCTCGCTGGGCTACCGAAGTACGCAACCCCCGGACTACTGGCGCTGGTGACGTCACAACGGCTACCTCCGGTCAACCTCCCCAACTGTCCCACACCCCTTTTACACACCCCTTGTTGAACCTCTAGCACCGCTCACACGCCATCCCCCTCGTACCACTCCGACGGCTCCAACACATCCACCCCCCTCAGCGGCAGCTATAGCAGTGCGAGACGGAGGAGGAGCAGGGGACTGTCAGAATCCCAACCACTAGACCATTGGGATAAAATGGCTTGTTTCAGTAGCGGGTCAGTGCGCCCATAACCCAGGCAAACGCGCCTGTAACCCCCCCTAGGATCGATCGGGGATCTCACAGTGTAGCTCTACTGACACCCCCCCACACTGGGAGGCCCATGACTGAGCACAGTGGCAACGGCCAACATGTGCATACACCGGGATTCGAACCCGAGACCGCTCTGATACCATGTCAGAATCCCAACAACTAGACCATTGGGATAAAAGGGCTTGTTTCAGTAGCGGGTCAGTGCGCCCATAACCCCCCAGGCAAACGCGCCTGTAACCCCCCCTAGGATCGATCGGGGATCTCACAGTGTAGCTCTACTGACAGGGACGGCTCACACACCCGGCACCCCCATACTCTCCACCCCCAAACCCTAACACAGGAGCGCGGGCAGCAGCGGGGGTGGGGAGCGGTCAGAAGCTCGGGGGACGGCGTGCGGCACTGGGGCAGACTGTACGGGCCGCACAAGGGCCTGGCGCAGGCTAGAAGAACCGCGCGCGGGCTACCCGGGCCGCGCGTGGGCCTGGCGCAGCCCGTACGGCCGCGAGCGGGCCTGGCGCAGCCCGTACGGGTCGCACGCGGGCTTGGCGCAGGCCGTACGGGCCGCGCGCGGGCTGTACGGGCCGCGCGCGGGCCTGGCACAACCCGTACTGGCTGCGCGCGGGCGTGACGCAGCCCGTACGGGCCGCGCGCGGGCCAAGCGCAGGTCGCGCGGGCCGCGTCGGGCAACGGAGGGCGACGCACGGGTCGACGGGGCAGAAAACCGCCGCGCGCCCGCGCGCCCTGAGCGCGCGGTAGGCAGGAAACATCGCGTGCCCGGGGCGTGCGATAGGTGGGACAGCAGCGGAAGCATCGGATGGGACCACCCACAGGATCGACTAAGGAGGGTCGACCTGCTCTAATAGCATGTCGAAAGACTAGGTAAAAGTTAGAATGGTTTTCACTAACAGGCAGTTGAGTACATATAGCAAACCCTAATTCGGGTTGTACTCGCTATAGAGTACCCCACTGCAGGCTAGACAAACATCACATTCTGACAGGGTGGTTTTCAATGTTTGTCAGGGGCACCCAGCTATCTTCAGTTGGCGTGGGGTCCTTCCAGCGAACGAGGAATTCAGTCCTCCTGATTCCCGTGGGGTGTCGAATCCAATGGCTTAGGATTTTTTCGGGCTAGATGATCGGCTCTGATGTAGGGCGAGTCATGGATGGCGGGCGATGACGAGGCAGTTGGCTTGTGGTTGGGATGTATGGGCGAAGCAGGCTGATGTGGAATGAAGGGCTGATGTACCAGTCCGTCGGCAACAGTAGGCGGGCTGTCACTGGGGTAATCATGTGGCTGATTTGGAATGGTCCACAGTAGCGTGGTCGCAGTTTCGTTGCGACAGGCAGTCTTAAGTTCTGGGTGTCGAGCAGTACGTTGTCTCCTGACTAGTACGTGACTGGGCGGCGGTGGCGGTCAGCGTTGCGCTTAGCGATGACGTTGGCTTGTTTAATTGCTTCGTCGGCTCTGGTGCGGGCAGCTTGCAGAATGTCAGCGAATTGTTGTGCACGTGGCGTTGGGTTGTCCGGACTCGGCGTCATGGGCACTGTGGGGTTTTGCCCGTAGTTCAGGTAGAAGGGGGACTGCTGCGTCGTCGCTGACGTTGCGTTGTTGTACGCGAATTCGATCAGCGGCAACTGCTGCTCCCATGTTGTCGGGTCGTCGCGCGTGGCACGAATCCACTGTTCCATCGTTTGATTCGTCCGCTCCATTCGACCGTCAGTCTCGGGGTGGTACGACGAGCTGAACTATAGCCTAGTCCCAAACTGCTCCCCGAGGTTCTTCCAAAAGTTGTTGGTGAACTTCGTGTCGCGGTCACTGATTATCGCGGTTGGTATCCCGTGCAGTCGAACGACGGCTGCGATGAACAGGCGAGCGGTTTCCTCGACTGAGATCGATTTCTTGCACGCAGCGAAGTGAGCCATTTTCGTCAACCTGTCAACGACGACCATAATTGCGTCGTTACCCCCAGGGTTCGAAGGTAACCCCGTGACGAAATCCATGGTAACATGTGTCAGATTTATATGACATAGTTTCTGTAGGCTTTAGTGGGGTAGCACATATGGGGTACAGGGTTTCTAGGGTTGTATTTGTACCCAATCTTCCATAGTCATTTTCATTCCTGCTTACTCATTTACACATGGTATAGAGCTAGGTCCCTCCAGGACCGAAATTATTTTTTTTTGGGCCCACCGAAGCGCGCCCCCGAGGCGCGATTTTTTTTAGCGACCCCTCGAGTCGCCCTCTCCCCTGCGGCCTCGCCGCCCACTCTGTCGCGGCCCCGCCCTGCTCCTTACGCGGCCCCGCCGCCTGCTCCTTACGCGGCCCCGCCCCGGCCCTTACGCGGCCCCGCGTCGCCTCCTACGCGGCCCTTACGCGGCCCCGCGCCGGCCCCTTACGCGGCCCTTCCGCGGCCCTTACGCGGCCACGCCGCCGGCTCCTTACGCGGCCCCGCGCCGGCCCCTTACGCGGCCCTTACGCGGCCCTTACGCGGCCACGCCGCCAGCTCCTACGCGGCCCCGCGCCGGCTCCTTACGCGGCCACGCCGCCGGCTCCTACGCAGCCGGCCCCTTACACGGCCCCACCGCCGGCCTCCTACTCGGCCCTGCCCCGGCTCCTTCGCGGCCCTGCCCCGGCTCCTACGCGGCCCTACCGCCGGCCCTGACGCGGCCCCGCCCCGTCTCACTTCTACGCGACCCGAGCCGCCTGTCGCCGAGCAGCCCGGGACCCGAGCCGCCCTGCAGCCGAGCCGCCCGGGAGCCGAGCCGCCCTGCACCCGAGCCGCCCTGCAGCCGAGCCGCCCGGGAGCCAAGCCGCCCTGCACCCGAGCCGCCCTGCAGCCGAGCCGCCCGGGAGCCGAGCCGCCCTGCACCCGAGCCGCCCTGCCGTCGAGCCGCCCGGGAGCCGATCCGCTGTACACCCGAGCCGCCCGGTCGCCGTTCTGCTTTTCTGTCGAGCTGCGCGACCTGCCCTGCCTGGTGAGCACAGTCCCACTGTCATTGCGTGCTCTCCCCCCTACTGCTTGCACTGCTTCACAGTCGTCGTCATGGCTACCCCTAGTGTCCTAGCTTTTGACGCTGAGGGTCGCGCCGTTGATTTTGAGGTCTGGCTAGACGACCTGCAGCTGTTCTTACAGTGCGACAGGGCTGATGACCTTTCTCTCTTTGACCTCACCTCTGGCGCCTCTCCTGCTCCTGCTGCTGATGCTGATCCCGCTGTCCGCTCTAAGTGGGCCACCCGCGATGCTGCTGCACGTCTTGCTGTGCGTCGCCACCTCCCTACCTCTGAGCGTGCGCACTTTAGTCAGTACAAGAGTGCTCAGACCTTGTACGACGCTGTAGTTGCGCGCTACTCCTCCCCTGCCACTGCTGCACTGAGCCGTCTCATGCTTCCCTACCTCTTTCCTGACCTCTCTGCCTTTCCCACTGTCGCTGACCTCATTACGCACCTCCGCACTAGTGACACTCGCTACC